CTGTTAGTTTTAAAAAATATAAAATCTTCAATCAAAAGCAGTAGTAAACGATTGATATATGAAAATGCTCTATGTAATCTTCCAATTAGCTCATAGGGAAAGTACAATCAACTTTTCCCTTATTTTTCCGAATTTTAGTTCATGTATTCGTACATAAATTAACGCTAATATTTCAAATATTTATACGTAACACGAGAGAGAAACTATACATTTATAATGTTTACAGAGTATCTATATACATATATATTTTTAGTAAAATTGTTGTGACATATAAGCTTAGAACACTACTCGTTCGAAAGTCTGGACCAAATTCACAACCTTAAAATGTTTGTAAAAATTAGTTACAAATGAAACCCTAAACGATCTTGTATATACTGCCAAAGTTGATAATTTGAATATGCAGTGACAGGGATTACTTTTCTATGTATTTATATGAAACAAATGTGGTGCAGAATGCTATTTATATTTTATAAAATAATGTATACTTTTGTAAAGATAAGAATCATGTAGCCAAAATACTATTATGTACTCTAGTTTTAACATGCATTTACTGAAATTTTAAGTATTGCAATAGAGTATTAGAGAAGTAGCCATGTAATGTCACATTCAGATAAATGTTACAGTAAATATGTTAACAGGGGATGCTGAATAATAGAATTGTACACAAATATACTTGTTATAATATGTAAAATAATTGTTATATATGTTTATTTACATATCACTAAAGTGTGCATAAATGAAATAGTAGTCAACAAAAATTACTGAGGTACTCATAAATTAATATATAACATATATACAATATTATAAACAATTATGTGATTGTTGTTCATTTACATTAAATAATTTAGATCAATCAACCCATTTAGATGTCTTTTTTTCTAAAACAACTGATCCATCCTCCGTTATTGCATTATAGTACTGTGTACTATCATATTTTTGTCGCATATACAAAATATATCCCACACAACTTAACATTGTTGCAGCTCCAAAAATCATTACTACTTTATTCTGAAACAACAATTAACAATAATTATTATGAGAACGTGAATTATTAGAATCGGAATTTTAAAGGATAGTCTCACCGGTTTAGCATATAATTCATAATTAACTGCACGAAACATCATTGTGCTTCTAAGACTTCGTAAACCATCACCTGGTTCTGCTTTATTTTGTTTTTTATTCATTATAATCTGCAGTCATATATCTTTATTTTTGACTCTTCCAATATCAATATTCCTGTAACAGATATCAATTTTTTATGAGTGGCTTTGCTTTTACATATTTAAGCCTAGGAAACAAAATTAAGTTGTTATACAACATTGACATTTAAATCCTATTTAAAATCATGTTGTATAACATTTTCATGATTCTTTATCAAGTTTTACTTAATTATTCCTCCAATTTAATTTGTTGTGAAAACTTACTTTCATTTGAAAAATTTGCATAATAGGTACATACATTATACTTACAGCAATCTAACCTAATATATCCTGTCTTACCATTGACTAGTTTTACCAAAACATTATCTTTCTCGCGTGGTGTACTCAGGATAAAAGTTTTTAACGAAAATGGTCAGAAAATTAAAATACCACGAACAGAAATTGTTAAAAAAAGTTGATTTTATAGCATGGCAAGCAGATAATAATTTAAATGAAGTGAAAATCCTGAAACAATTTCGAATACGAAAAAGAGAAGATTATACAAGGTACAAATTTAGGTTATCTTAATAAATATATCATTTAAAGAAATATTTTTTCTAAACATCTGAATTATTGTAGGTACAAGAAATTAGGACGAGAAATTCGTGAATTGGGAAACAAAATTAAAGAACTTGATGCTGAGCATCCTTTTCGAATTGAACAAAGTGCATTATTGTTAGAAAAATTGTATATGATAGGACTCATACCAACAAAATGGGATTTATCGTTAACGCAGAAAGTAGATGGAATTGCCTTTTGTAGACGACGATTGCCAGTTATTATGGTACGGAATAAGATGAGCGAAAACCTTAAATTGGCAACACAATTAATAGAACAAGGTCATGTTAGAGTTGGAGCAGAAGTTATAAAAGATCCTGCATTTTTAGTAACAAGGTTAATACTAATTATACAATACTATAAAATAATAATCAGTGAATGTAAAACGTTAGGAACATGCATATTAATCTATGTGCATTTTACAGGAATTTAGAAGATTTTGTTACATGGGTAGATACATCAGCTATCAAAAAGCATATTTTAGAGTATAATGATGCTGTAAGTATTCATTTATTATTGTTATATTAATATAATACATACTGCCTATTATTTACTATATTTACTAATTGTAAATACTATTTTGTTACAGAGGGACGATTTTGATATGCTGTAAATAAAACTAATATATTATAAATTGAATCACATTTTGTATATTT